TGGAAAAGTTTAAGACAGGTAGGTCTACAATTGGGACATTTTTCCATAAGGACTTTGAGAAAAAAAAACCAATAAAATAAAGAAATAAAAAACGAAAAAACGAAACATAATGTTACAATAGAACCACTGTTTTTTAAATTTCTTAATTATTTTGTATGAACATTTATATGATGAGTTATAACATTTTGTTCTAGAATAATTTTTATCCGCAATTCAAGCAGTCCAATATAATATCAACATAAGCTTAAAGCTTAAATGTTACATTAAATATTCTTGAAACTATTTTTGAATTCCAGCACATAGTACAAACATTACAGTAAATGCCTCTCGTGTATATCTAACTTTCAAAAGCATAGTAATATACTTATAATGTGCATCTGCAAATAACGTGGAAGATATGAATAAAATAATGCGTTCCTATCATTTCAAATTTTTTGTTTCTCTATATATTCAGTTAGATTTGTTTGGAAAAAAAATACAAACACAGGTGCTTAAGCAAATTTGTATTCAATGTGACTTGTAGGCCTATCGAGCCTGGGGTTGATTAATTTATTTTGTTGTGTGATAATTTTCATGTCAATATAATAAACAAAGTATCTATCTACAGTATCTATACAAAAGGTAAGACTTTATTGAGTTTGTTTACACAGTTATATCTTAACCCCAATAGTTTTTCGTCAGTAACAGTTAGTAAAAAAAGTTAATGACAGAAGTGAAGTAAAAAGTCAATGACACAAGTGAAGTTAAAAATTAATGACAGAAGTGAAGTAAAGTAATCAGAACAATATCTAGCCTGTCGTTATTGATTGAATATGCAGATATCAGAGTATCTTACTATTTTGACAAACATTACAAAATTTAGGATTATTTTTAAAATTATCGAAAGAAGGCAAAAATTGAACCTGAAAATTTACATTACGAATTAGTGATGAAATTGTTTGGAATAGTTTGGAATTTGTAAGGTAAATATCATTGAATTAAAGCAGTTACAGTGCAGGAGTTCAGTCTTTACAGACTGATTTGCGCAATGTCCTGTTTTGCTTTTATGACATGAAAATGCGAAAATGCGAGAGCGCGAAAATACAATAAATTCCAATTTGATTAATTATTTTTGTTTCGGAGTTTGCATTCTGATAATTTTTCGAGGCGAAAAAGTAAAACGAATAAATAAGTATATGTGTCGTGATTTCAAAAAGTAACGCTTAGCATTGTTACATTTTTGCTTTGTTGCATTGTCGTCCCGCATCCGCATATCGTTAGAAACGGAGATACGTTCACAAAAAGTGTTAAAAAATAATTTTGATCAGAATTTTTATATTATATTAATAATCAACTTGACGGACGTGTCATTTTTCTTGATACGCTTCACTTTTACGCGATTAACGAACTAAAGGTGCAAAAGTTAACTATGCAAAATTAGATGTATAAAATACGACAAAATATCAATGCGTTAAACAATAATGCAAAAGGCAAAACTGTAAAGAAACGGTAATTTATACAAAAATGCTTAGAAACGACAAATAAAAAACAAATACACGACAAATTTAATGTGTTGTAATGTTGCCAATTTTGTCATCAGTTCGCTTTTTGCTTTAACAAAAATGTAAAGACACCAAGAAACGACACAGCTGGACTTTGTAAAAGCTTAAAAGCAAATATACGACATAGTGTAAATCAGCAATCATAATTCAATTCTTTTTGAATTTTCTGATATGTTGTTGGAAGGCTTACAACAATACAACACTTGTGTTTCCTTCATCTTTTAATCAACATACATAGCTATCTATACGAAAAATACTAACCATACAACAATGTTTCATGTCATTAATTAATAATCGTACTTCATCAAATATGTAAATATTAAATCTCTTTAAACTATTTCTACTTTATACAAAACAGTTTCACCATTTACGTTAGCAGACTGAATAAAATTTCCAGAACGTTAATAACGAATTCACTAGAACATGAAAATAATTTAACATTCTTATCACAGAATTTGTTGTACGCTATTTGTCACAAGGTTAACTGTAAAGCTTTTGATTTTTTAAGTGAGCTTCAAATGACGCCTCATGCGAGTAATACCCTTCTTTAAGCTTTTCCATCAAGAACACAAACAGATGACTCCATGCATTTGCTACTTCCGGTGTAAATCCATCACCCATACAGCGTTCCCACTGACACATTAATGCTTCATAAAATATTTCAAAGTATTCTGGCTTAAATCCCTTATAATTCTGATGCTGTTGTCCAAGGGTAAATAAAAATTCACATAGTTTGTTGTCCTCTTTATCGATCTCCTCTAAACTATCCACAGCCGAACCGATGGCATTAATAAAACGTTTGCCATGCGCCTTTATTGTGGCGTTTCTTGCAAGTTGTGAATGCCGAACATTTTCAACATGGAACAGGAACTTGACTTCCGGAGAAATTTCAAATATTCTAAGAAAAATTTGTAAACCGTTACCTTGTAAGTCTGTGGCCAATGCTGGCCAGGTTTGCTGAACCGCTTTTCTTTCAACTGGAGTTATGTCTGTATTACATTTTAAAGTAAATATTATCCGTGTCTTAATTGGGTCTTTGTTTGGACTGATGTGTTTTAATGAATTCTTCTTGTATTGTAAAGAGTTTGCACAACCCATAATGTTTTATATCAGTTTTTGCAACTTTATGAAAAAGTTATATTCACTTAATTGTTTAGATATTTTATCCTACAAATTTAAGATATAAAACCGCTCTTGAAATAGACTATTTTTTAATGAATGCGTTAAATTAATTTCATCACTGTATTATCCACAAATATCTAGAAACTGTTCCATGATCAACAGCATTTCTCTTTAAGCTTTCATTGTTGTTTTTAGTAATATCCTTGCATAACTTTATTTCCTTTTCAAATAGTTTGCACTCGTTATTCTTTATTTGATTTATATCTAACTTTTGTTTGTTTTGAAAAATATTTAAATTCCCGTGTGTTAACTTTATTGTCTGTTAACTGTTTCTGTGAATCCGTAGAAAATAATTAAGAAGTGTCTTCTCTTGGTTTTTAATGCGCCCTCTGGTCTCTAGGAATTGCTACAGTTATCTGTTTTCATCCGTCAGTAGCCGTTTTCCGATATTGGAATTTCTTCATCTAGAGGCTCTTTTTATAATTGTCTACTTTTTCTGGAAGAATTATCTGATGAACACAGCAAAAAAAATGTTCTTTCCATAATATGGTTACAAATCACTCTATACACAACTGGTCACGTAGATTTGTAATATATTGTACAGCAACACAAAAAAAGAATTTGGCTTCAACTTAAGATTATACCAATATTTTGTGAAAACAAATATTACATCTTTATTTTTACAATGAACATGAACGAGTATCAACTTATGTTTCTTATCTCACACGTTTAAACACTCTGATTAACTATGAATTAAATTTCAAAGCATGTAAAGGAAAAGATTTATCGAAAACGATAACAAATCGTTTTACTGTGGAAACACTTTCTTACATAAATTGGAATTAGGTTAATTACATTTGAAAATGAAAGCAAACATATCAAAAACCCACATGTTCATACATATGTTTCCTGCGTCCGTCACTGGGACCTTTGAATTTCATTATGAAACTATTGTATATGTTGCCTGCTTATTAACTTTGTCTTTTGACGTCTTATCTGTAATATGCAGACTTCATGACCTCTTTTTCCCTTTAAAAATTCCATTTTTTTAGTTCCGCCCATTGTTTTCTCAGTTAATGCACATGCCTTTACATGTATTACTATGGGGACCATATGCCGCTTTTCATGGAATGGCACTACTGTGTCACATTGGGGGTTCCATGATGACCGCAATATGAACACATCTGCGGATATTTATAAATTTTAAATTTTATCATTACATGTTTTAATGTTTAATTCTGCTTAAGCCGCTGCTAGGGGGCATGTACGGTAGTTTGCACTTGACAGTACCGTTCATGAACAGGCTCAATTAAACCGAGCCTGCAACATTTTCTATTCTGTCGTGTTGGACTTTCTTTAGGGATTCTTATTTTCTCTATTTGTATGGCGCAAATGTACAATATAATATGTTTCACTCTGTCAATGAAAAATAGTAATTTATAACATTTAAAAGATATCCCATTCTGTTAGTAAAAACGTATATTATGTGAAGCCCTTAAATCTGATATTAAATATATAATGTAATGATTCAATAACAAGGCAGTTTATTTCAAACAGTTTCATTTTATCTATGTTATAGTTCATGTTTTGTTTTGTTTTATATCCAAATATCTGATATTTTAATCACATAAACATCATTATCAAATACCAATTATGTGACAAAAACAACTCGTAAAATACATTTTGAAACTAATTATGATATAAAAATTTCCAAAGAATGCAATTTTATCAAGAAAATGAACAATCTACAATACGATAATAGGCGATTTAATTCAAGTCAAATCTAAATGCTATTACCTGACACTATATTACAAAACATCTCCAGTCGAAATCTTACCCTACCCTAGTCTAAGTCTACAAAATATCTGTTTATCATCTTTATTACTAACAGGTGCCCGTAACAATACGATTTCTCTTCTTTATCAATTTACTCTTACGTCAAGGAAAATATAAAATTTCAGATTGCAGACTATTGAAGTGTAATATCTTGGGATAACATCCTTCCGAAATTATGTTTGAAATATACAGTTCATTAGCTGTATTCATCGATCGTATGAAAGTAAAATATGAAGAATGAATGTTAATGCGAAGAAATTTATGATATCCAACGGCTGGTAATAGAACTTATGTTTTAGTATCATACGTTAAATAAGGAGCATGCATTGTAAAATAACTGCTAAGAATTGATTTAAGCTAAGTGTAATTACTATTCTAGAATGTAAACGTAAATAAAACAGTTTTGTTTCATTTTTCTTGGGAAAAATATAATTATCAGTCTAATAACTGTTTAATAATATTTCAGTTTTGCCAAATTTTAAACGTATGAGTATATACTGCTCAAAATGAATTTGAAAATACTGATAATTGTTATGGAGGTTATAGAGTATTTAAAAAAAACAAAAAACAAGATTAACAAAGAAGATCGTGTTAACCTCTCTGACAGTTATTTTACAGGAACGACCAAATTACCTTGACAAATAATAGGAAATTCGGCTCCGCAATAAAACATATTCAGTATGAATTTCCTAGATTTGAAACATTTGTGCTATAAAAGTAGTTTACCCAAAAATGAGCAAAGTACATCTTGAAAATTAGATAAATTGCGTTGACTTATTTGTTCACTTAGATACGTTCATACTTCCTGCATATCGTTTGAACTCCCCCCCCCCCCCACCCCACCCACACACAAAAAAACTTAAATATATAATGTGTCGTTTTCTTGAAGTCATGACGCTTAACCAGATTTGACTTAAATTTTTCAAGCAATTCTAATTATGACTATTTTTTCACAAAAATGTTAGTTATTATAAAAAAAGACATGTGATAGTAATCGGTGCAAACGTTTTGTAATTTAATTTTTGATATGACGATAATGCTTACTATATGAACCTATTTTTAGACTATCTGCGAACGATGACAACGTTATATAACACAGTATAATATATCTTGGATGACAAATAATCAATATGAAAGTACATGTATATTATAAACATTTCTTTTGTCTTTTATTGATACAGAGTGTTGTTATATAAAAACCATATCTTATTTACATTCCAATTTCAGTTTCAATATGTTTTTCCTGATTTCTGATTTAATTAAGAACTTTCAATTTGTCAGAATGTATTAATTGCTTTTTCTTTGTTCTTTTTTCAAGCAAGCAGATTCAATGAGAAAACTTCGGTGTTCAATTTCAATACTAATGGAGACCTGTCAGAAGTTCGTTGGAAACGTTTGTAAATCCAGAAATTGCTTTATATAATTTTGACGTCGAATTAAATGTTTTCTTGGTTATTTCAAAGTAGTTTGTTTTAATTTATCAAATTGTTTAGTGCATTATTGCAATTTCGTCAGCTGAAATTTGACCGAACGCGTAAGCTTCAAATCAAATTAATTGACAAATAAAACTGATTTAGTCAAGTCACGTTTATATGGAGTGTGAAAGGAACAGCACGAAATATTTACATTGAGGCTAATTTAGACGTATTATGTGAATTAATACGACCTGCAGTTACTTAAAGGGAAAGGCTCTTGAACACAGATTTTCATGATTTGGTCGCTAAAAGAAATTCAATTATTACTTCATCACCGGTTCCGAAAATGTTTCTGAAAGCATGTATTTAAAAAACACTCTAGCATTAATTATTTCCCACTGTTATCAATTACGTCCTTGCCATGAAAATGTTATTTTGTTTGTTTTGTCCATGTCAATGTTCAAAAGTTAACAATGCTCTATGTTTTCTATGGACTTGCGTGCTATACGTGTTATCTATATCGCGTTTTTGTTCTATTAGGAATAGCCAGCTTTGAAATGGGTTGCACGCTTTTCGAAGTTTTTTTCACATTAGAATACTTACTCATTCTGGAAAAACGGAATGAAGGTATCATCCATCTGAAATTTTGTAAACAATTTATTTGTTAAGACCTAAAATTAATGGATTATTAATCTCAAAAGTATTTCCAGTCCGTCAAGAAATTTCGGTGAAGTTCCGTTATGGCAATAAAACTTAGATATAAAACAGTTCCGATTAAAAAGCTCATTTAACCCTCCAAAATGCTATTTTAATTTGTTTACTTTTAGCATATTACATTTGGCCAAAAATTTGAAATATCTTTTGCTTTTTGTATTTTGATTACTGGTATGGTTACATGTATGTAGTGATTTAGTAGTTGAAAGTCAAAATACCACTTTTTGCACATTTTCCTATCTTCATGACACTTTACGGTATGTTCAGCACTTTTTTTAATACATGACCTTTCTAAATTATGAACAAAATCATGTTTTTCGACAGTTTATACCGTACACCATTTATTAAAATGATGCTGTGATTGACTGATTTGCGTTGACGCCAGGTGTTGCTAAACAGACGTGTAGTCGGCAAAAAGACGCGCAGAACAAGCACTTTTTAACAGCGCTCGTTTTTCACAATCAGCGTCTTTATGTAAACAATTTTAATACTCAGATGCACGTTTTGTTAGAATATGACATTACATTAACTATCTTATATGTGAAGGATTTGTTTGGTAGTAAAATCATGTTTTTAATTGAAAGGCATCAGTTTTTTAAAATCATAAACACACAATTCTAAATGGTATCTGTAAAACTGCCAATGTTTGTATAATAGCAAATGACAACTCATGACATATCATATATTTGCAAAAAACAATGATTGTTCTATATAATCATGACATATATTTCTTTTTTAAACCAACGTACATTGTATATTATCCCAAAAGAAACTGTTACGCTTTGTAAAAATCTTTTAAAACATTTGTATTCCTAACAAGCTGAAAGAACTTCTATCGTTTCCACGTAAAAGTTTTCAAAAATACTGGGAAACTTCGATAGGCTATCTTTAGTAGAAAACGATATCTTCTATTTGAAATTGAGCATGCCAAAATTTACCTATTTATCTCTGTTGTGCAATTAGAATACACTTTTAGAAAACCATTTTATGAATAACTGACTCTTTGTTACG